TGGATGTAACACGGTGATGGAACCACCACTATCCTTACTTATTCAAGAGCCACAAGAAATTCTGTCTCCTGTCACTGAGGGGCTGAAATGAAGCATATATATCATCAGTACAATACAGACACGCATATAAATTCTTTTAGTTCCTTTCATTTTTCTAAAATTATTTTTGTCTTTGGGCTCAAACTGCACCATCAGACCCAAGGGCTGGATTCCACTCCCACTGACTTCCTGACAAGTAAGGATGGAACGATGCTGCAATTCAGGGATGTATAAATTTCAGATTAAAGTTTTTTAATTCTAACCCACATCTTAATGTGAGATCTGGACAATGCTTATCTGTTCATTATTTATTAAAATTAAAACTGTCAATGCCACAAGATTGTTCTCCATTTGATGAATCATAATGCGTGTACATACCTGTGTGCACATGTATGCATTTACACATCTGCATGCATGCAGATGTTTGAGTGAAACTGAGACAGAACTTCTTGCTTTTAAGGTTAGCTTGCATCTGATGTATTGTTGGTGCACTTCTTTTTCTGAAACATTCCTGACACCATGGAAAAATATGTTTTAGTTAGCTGTCACTACAAACATTTATTTTTGGTGGGTTTATTTTCTCCGCTAAAAAACATATGGTTAAAAGTAAATAAATTGGTTCCTAGAACTTAAACCTTATCAGACCTGTAAGAGTTGCACAGCTAATAAAAGTTATAGCCTTCAACATGAAGATAAAGTTCCTTGACAACGCATTAAATCAATGTACTAGCTATCAAATGACTTCTACCAATTGTTCTGAATTAAAAAGATGTGTTTTCCATATTATAGAACTGCCCACACCACAGAATTTCAGCCAACTGCAACTACATTCAAATCTGTATCTATCATAATAAGGTAAAAGATGTTGGTTTGGACCTTCCTGGAGATGGCACATTTCAATTTCACGCTTTTCCCAGTGTTTTTCCTGTTCACAGCTCCTTCTCTTTCATTGGCTTCTCAAGCCCCCTGTAACCTTCTCTCTTGTATTGGTTAACATTTAGTTGAGCGGTCTGCACAGGTTGTTTGCTGACAAGGGAACACGCAAGCCCAAAAGAAAAGCCATCAGTATTTGCTGCAACTCAGATAACAGCTATGGAAAGGGGAAAAAGACATTTGATCTTCAGAAAGGAGAAAACATTTAAAATCTCTTAGAAAGTGAAAGTCAGAGATTAGTCCAACCGAATGAAAAAAGAAAAAAATGTGGAAATTTTACAGGAGTTGTCTCATTTCTCCCTTTAGTTTTGCTTGGTATTTCTCAGACATTTAGAAAGTGCAGCTCTGTTTTCAGATAACAGCCCAACTCAAACCCAGATCCCTGAAGACAAGGAAGGCAGAATCATCCAGAACTAGATTAAATTTCCTGCCACCAAAACCTTGATCATCTGCCAGCAATTAAAGGTAGTTAGAACTCCTTGACTACTGTAATCGTTTTTAGCCAGCAACTTCACCGTGGCTTCATTTGCCTGCCTTGAAGAAACCTGGATTGTGTTCACTCCTAACACGTTATGACCATTTTGAACATATTCATGATACTTTCTCAGGGATAAAAACCCACGATATTTAGAAAAAATCAAATCAGCTAAACTTCAGATCATTTCAGTTTCTTTTTGGCTTTCCAATTAACAAAACAGAGGGCACTGATTTGTAGCATGGAGTCTGGCTCGGCTTTCCCCATCATTTTTGAATGCTTCCTTCGATTTTGTATGTATCTTCTCATTATCCAGAGAAATGATTAAAAAAAAAAAATCTGTGTTCTAGAAATGGTCACCTGACAGAAAGGTGCAGTATGCAGACAGGGGATCTGTATCACAAACATTAGTAACCATATGCTGTTGCCTAAATCTATCAAACATCTGAATTAAGGAGGGCTGGCATGAGCTTGTCCCTAGGCAGTTGTTCCAACAAAAGTCTGTATAATACCATTCCTCAACATTTTTCACTTGAAGGATTTTTTTGCCTTTTCAAAAAAAATACAAAGACCACCTTGGGCTGCACTGCAAAATAGGTTTTCACTAATAATAATTTTAAAATTAGTTCAGGCTCTGAATGGTTTGGGGTTTCTTTTCCTTTTATTCCCTTCATTTATGTGCACGGATTTGTTTAGCTGCATGGTGGGAGGGGCACATGGGCTTTTTTAAGTTTTGGAAGTGTTTAGGGAATACCTGATGTATTAACTATCATTTTATCAGCAATGATCTACATCAATATGTCTTGTTCCAATGAAGAATAGGGCATTAATACAGTCAGAAATAAAGTCAATCTCTAGCTACGAACACACAGACCTCAGTGACTTCCAGGAAAACCAAACCAATGCCTATACAAAGGAATAGCGAAAGGGAAAGTGAAAGGCTAGTTCTACTTCTTATTCTGATACAGAGTCCAGGCCAGATCTTTTACCCTGTTTGACTTCTGGTTAGCACAAAACCAGAGTGAAGAAGTAATGGCAGTTTTAAACTGCCCTTGCGACTCTGTGGTCTATAAGCTGATCAAGGTATGTTAAGACTCTGATGCTAACTTAGAACAGCCTTAGGGTTTTGTGAATGATAGCTGGCTACTCACAGACCCTGTAACAGCTACTTAGCAGGCAGGGAGCTCCAGCTAAAGAATCTCTTCTTTACAGTACTGGTGACAGAGGTATCACACTGTTCCTATTCTGCCTAGGAAACTCACTTCCTTCAAAAGTGACTTCAGGGTTGCCAGCTCTGCATGCTTCTGAGTGCTTTGTAGCACACCAGTGGAAAGAAGTAGCTGGAGCAACAAGTCCTGGCTCCATCTGTGCTGCTGGGCAGGAGACGACATTTGCTTACTGTGTATTCTTTGCAGAAGAGCTAGAAGAATTACAGTTGGTGTGGCTTGCTAAACTCTGATTATTCATGTCCTCTGTTTACATGCAAACTAATTAGCAGCACTGATCTCTTAGTAAAAAGCTGAAATCAATTGGGAAGGCAGCTGACTTTATTATAGTAATTAATTGCAAATGACATGTAGTTTCAGTACTTCATGGCAAATCTCTTTATTCTGGCTTTTGAGGCTTTGGTACTCTGTTGTTGGTTTCTTTTTTTCCCCTCCATTACACCACTGCTAACCCCTCTGATTTTTTTTCTCAGACATAACTTCCATCACATAGAATCTGTCCTGTTTTGTGTCACACACTTTCCTGGAGAATACTTGGCTTTCTTTACAGGAATTCCTGTATGCTTAGGAATCCTGGAAATGGGACAACGCTCCTACAGAAAGGTGGCTCCTTACTTCTAGGCAAAGATGCTGAATTTTTCTCCTGAAAATCTGCTTGACTGTGAGGGTGAGGAGAGGGGAGAAGAAAGGTGTAAGCCATCTTTGTTGTACCTGGCAAGACAGTTCAGTTCACTGGGAATGCAGAACACCCATGCTCCAGTGGGATGCTAAGTAGTACATGTGTGATTACCAGAAAGATTGAGTTGCTCTGGAAACAAAAAATACATTGCTCTCTCTGTGAAGCGGTTGACTGGGATATGAAGAGGGACACACCCAGATTCTGCAAGGTTTAATTCCACCAAGGTAGTCTGAGCCAGAAGGAGACTTGGCATATGCCAAGAGAGCAGCATACATTCAACTGGGTAGTGGCCCTGATCCTGTGTAAAACGTTCATGCACAGAGATTGGGCTCCTAAAATCATTATTTGCTCCTGAACCACTGCACATGCCAGAGAAGAAACTGGTCACCTTGAGGGATGTAGCTAATAAAAAATGAAGAAGTTTTCCACAAGACTTCAAAGGTGTAAAATGGCAAGGTTTTAAAATTATGGGGAGTAAATGTGTTCCTCTTGAATACGTACTCATACACAGCTAGAGAACTGGAGCTGTGAGCAAAACATCATACTTTGTTTCATGTAACAGAATCTGAAATTTAGCATTTGTATTTTTTGTATTGGCTGTCTGTGATGTTCTAACAGCTGTGGGAACTATTTAGGATATTAACAGAGGGACAGGATCACGTCTATTGGGACAACTACAGGAAACTTACTGCTCAGTTCAGCAGAAGTATGACTGAGCTTGAGCCCTGACAACTGATTCACCACTGCCCTGCTGCTCAGTGTACTCTTTTACATCAGTGTGAAGCATGCACCAGCTGAACTTGACCCCACTTTACACTCGCATTGCACTCATGTAAGTACTGCTGCTGAGTGCGTGGTGGTAAGGACCTGGGTCACATCGCTTCACAGCATTTCAGATCCCACAAAGTGGAAATACCATGGGAAGAAAAGGTTTCACACTGTTTTGCCCCTGTAAGTGATTGCTCCAAACACTACAAGAGAAACAGAAAGGACACTGAAAATGATGAGACATTAGGGGTAAATAAGCTTCATGTACAAACCGAATGTACAAGCTCTTCTTAATAGACTATAGACCCGAAGGATTCTAAATTGCACCGAGGAGGAAGACATTGACATTAAGTTTTCTTCTAACTGGTGGCCGCTCTGGAAGAATGAAGGACAGAATAAAGAAAGAAAGAGGAACAACAGAGCATAAAATCAAGAACTATCATTTCCAATCAGTGTATTTACTAACTTACAAGAAGTGCCTCCAGCTTAGACTATAATTAAAACCAAGTTAATATACTGGCCCTCAGACTGAGTAACAGCGTGACTAACACTTGTAGCACAGCCTGGATCCAGATCCTGTTCTGCTGAAATGGTGATGGGGTAAAGAGGACAGATGGGGTAGGAGGTTACAATTTTTATGCCATTAGGATATATGTTGCTTCTAAATACATCTGATTTTTCTGTAACAGGGACAGTGAGGCCCTATTTGCTGTAAACTTACTCTACAGTTGAAAACCACCTTTCAATAGGTGGAAGATTCCTCTTGCCTGGTGAACGCAGGTAACATTACACAACTTTAAGAGAACAAAAGTGATACCTAAAATACCGTTCCCCAGTATTCCGTTCCTCTCCCATTCCCCACATGCAAATCAGAACTAACCTGGATGATCTGTGTAGTTTCTGATTTGCTCTTCTCTCTCTATTTAGGTTTCTGTGTTCAGTTCAGGTCCTTAGCACGTAGGAAGGGCCCACCTTCAGAAGACTTAGTACAGGTGTTTTGACCGTGGAGATGGTCTGCTGGAAAAACAATTGCAAATAAGAGTTCATTTTAGCTTTCTACCAATATAAAAGGAATCTCAAACATTTTGTCACTTTCAAAAGAAATTACAGAAGAAATATGTACAGAGGTTCCTGTAAGGCGTCTACTACCTTCAGGACAGTCTTCATTGTTTTAATGAAATGACATTGTCTTAAACCGGAATGAATTGAAGCACGTGCTTGGCACTAAGCAAGAGAAGATGCAGGTAGCAGGCACTATTTCAGCATGTGAAGGCAAGAAAACACTTAAAGGCTTCTTTGCTGAAGCACTCAGCAAGTACTCTTCATACACTGTAGAATCAGACCTAATACGATTACCTCACATGTACCATTATATCTTCAACACTGATTGGATGTGCATTGTAGACAAATTGTTGACTGGTTACTCTGAACATTAACTTTAGGTATGTGAATCATAAGTGATCACCGATAGAGTAAAAGAAATAAATTTTCCTGCACAGAGTGTGGTTAACGTATACAAAGATGTTTTTCAGCTGACACAGAACAATTGGCTCTGGCTTCTTTGTATCAGCTGCTCTAGACAAATGTCTTCCAGGATTTAGGAGGAAATCTGTTATGAATTATTTACTTTTATCATTCAGCTAATTTTCTTGTTGTTGGGGTTTTTTCATTATTTTTTATTAAAGCCAAATGATTGTGCTCCAGGACATTCCATAAATGCTGCTGTACTGTCGTTTTAGGAAATACCATTAAAGCGACCTTTTCCTTGTTTGCTTCCCATGGCATTTAACTATGCTGTTTTAAGAGAAACATCATTAAAACTGTCAATTCCTTCATGGGTGCCTTAAGATTATTCATAGAAACTGTACTCTTTTGGGGATAACAGAAACACAAGACCTTGTTTTCCCTGCATTAACCTGATTTTCCACTGAAGTAACAACATTAACACAGGTCTATCAACACTGGGCAAACTCAGGCCGCTTTTTTTTTCTTTTTTTTTTTTCTTTTGTAAGAATTTGACACTAGTGAGACACCACATTAGAAACAAAGTGTGAAGTCATCTACTCAACCTCAAATTATATATAGCACAGGAAGCAATTCTACCGCTCTCCCCTAAACCTTTCACCACAATTCCTGATTTTTTTGCCCTGGCATAACTTACTTTAAGAGGATGTGGGACAGCACATCCCACATAATACTTGGTCTGAAATAGTAAGTGCCAGCTGTGATAAGAGTTCTTCACCAAAAAAATAGATTTAAGTGTCACAGAGCACAGAACGGTTGAGATTAGAAGAGACCTGGCAATCACCTGCTCTGGTTACCCTCCTCAAAGGAGGGTCAACTAGGGCAGGTTGCCTGGGGCCCCATTCAGTCAGGTTTTGAGTATCTCCACACATGGGTCCTGGTTACCCTAGGTCTCTCTGCTAAAGGTTATCTCCATTCATTCCCTAGGTTACCATTTAATTATTCAGTCTGTCCTTATATTCTCCAGAGCGCTATACTTCATCATGCAATTCAAATGGCATTATATCTTCCCACCACCGAGTCTAAACATAAGGTAGCTTACCCTACAACACTTGCAATGGTAACAATTTTACATCCTGATCAGCTGAACCTGGATTTGAACAGGTAACCAAATCTTCTTTAAGCCACATGTAACGTAAGTTTACTTATCAAGCAGGCCTGCTTATTCCTCTAGCACTACTTTTAGTATGGAGCACGGGCTGTTCGATTCCACATTCACATCTGCATCTGTTGTGCTGCAGTATCTCACTACTCAATGAAGTGAGCCTTGTACATTTTTCAAAAGCCTCCTGTGCACTTTTTAGCCATGTCAACACGTGGCCACATAACTAAACCCTGTCCTGACTAGTGACAGTGTTTCCACAATAGCTGATGTCCTCTAAAAGAGGTAAAAGCAAGGCAAAAAGGAATAAATACTGGAATCAACAAAGTAAAGTGGCAGAAAAAAAAAAAAAGCTTTGATGATACCAAGTAATCATGTGGCTTTTTTACTGGGATGAGCTGAGTCACTCACTCATGGCTCAACTTCTTCCGAATAATGTGGTCATCTGAAACACACAGAAATAAAAACTTAGTAGCACCTTACAGTTGTGTTCATTCATTCATTCATTCATTCATTCATTCATTCATTCATTCACTCACTTTCTTTGTCTCATAGGTCTATAAAACCCATTCCTCATTTTAACAGAGAAAATCAAAATACTCTGTTTACATTTTCAGCCAGTGGTATAGCTAGCGGTATCTCTACTAATTAATCTGGATAGCTGGAAAAATACACCAATTTTCTTTTTCTTGAGCCACTCAATCCATAATGAGACCCTTAATTAGAGATAACTGAAACCCTGTGGGAGGAAGCTAGATTTAATGCAAGGGAGAGTGAGCCTGATGTCAAGATTCTCTATTTACTTCTCCCCGTAACTCTTTGATGCTTTTGAAAAAGTTGCGGGAGAATAATTATTCAAAAGGGCATGAAGAGTTTGCTGTGGGAAGTGTTTTACTATTTGTCTGTCCCCAGCTGAATTGTGTAATGCCTTTGAGAAGTTATGATTCTAGAAGTGATGCTGAAAGCGAAAACTGTGCAGTAAAATGGAGTAGTGAAAATAATGGTACAGCATTGCACAGTGCCTTTTATCAACAGCACTTGCATTCACTTTGACTGTAGTCCATGAAAGTAAGGAAAGCTAGTGCTTGGCCTTTTCACATTGCAGCCTAGTTCTTCTTGCCTAATTTCCCAGGGAGTCAAATGGGGCCAATAATGGATGCGTTTTGTTGCCTTCACCTAAGCCTTGTTGTGTAGACAGGAATACACATTACCTGCTGCATACATAGTAGTGCTCTTGTACGACATTTTCTGTGTTTCTCTGACTTGACTTTCCTTTCTTGCTAAAACATTTGCACAATGTCTTCTTCTGTCTGCTTGTTCTTGAAATCAGAATCCCCTGTTGTTCCCAGCACTGTAACTGACACACCAGTCCATCTTCCCGACAGCAGAGGGAGAAGATACTGATACTGTTCAGCTGCGTTCAGGTTAGGCAATAGATATGTCAAGGTTTGTTCATAAAAGAGATGAAATAACATCTCAGATCTGATAGGAGAGGTCATTCCCTGAAATGTCTAAATATCACACATACCAGGAGTTCTGGAGACCTGGTATCTGAGTCTTGTATAAAAGCAGCACATGATAAAAGAAACAGTGACAGTGGACAGCCTTTTAAAGCTTCCACCCTTAACAATGCCCAGATGTTTACAAGACAAACCTATTTTACAACACGTATCTTTTGGGATTAATAAAAAGGAAAACAGTTAAGAAAAAGTTATTGCTATGGATTTGATCTTCCGTCCTCATTAAACCTAGTTTTTCATTCAAAGGCTGCCTCTTTGAGTAGTCTTCACTACACTAACTTTGACATTTTTCCACATATAAGACCAGTCATAAGAATATAAAAACCTTAAATTAAGAATGCAGCTTTTTTGCCACATCCAAATCATTAAGCCGGTCCTCCATTTTCTTCTGCTTCAATGCCAGTAGAACCTTGATGCTATTGCCTTCTCATTTGCAACAGCAAAGAATTTGTCCTTAGATGCCAAATCTACTCCCCAAAGCTGTTCCAGGAATACAAGTAATATTCCAGAAAGCTTCCTCTTTCCGCTTTTACTATTGGTATGGTTTCTGGAAAGCAGATGTGCTGTAGACTGAGATACTCTCTATTTCATCATTTATGTGCAAGTGATGGGTTTGAGGTTTTTTTCTGGTAGGAGAGCCAATGCAATGGAACTCGTCACAATTCTACCCCAGATGTTTAATACCTTACACAACCTTCTATCCAGCCTGCCCTTCAAGTTGTGTCTGATAAATGAAAGCTCAAAGCTGGAGAAAAAGCATGATGAGTGTTCCCATTACTTCTGCATCTCTTCAAAGGAGCAAGTTACAGTCGCTACCTCAAGTTACTGCGAAAGTGGAAAAACCCTGGCACCAAGTCCCCATCTTCCAACACCACATGTAACAGAACTAGCATGTAACATCTGACGAGAAGCAACAGGCATGCTTCTGTGTAGTCCTCATTCATCTCAACAAAAGCTCCTGCCTCAGCTGACACTAGGGCAGTGAACCCCCAGGTCTTTAAGAAGCTTTGCCTGGCACATTATCCATATGCAGTCCTAAGTGGTTTTCTCAAAAGAGCAGGTGGAGATGGAGTGGGGAAATAGAGTTTTAATGCCAAGTTTCTTCGTTCGATGCAAATATCAGCCCCCTTGAGTAATAATTTGACATTCCTCAGCAAAAATACACTCTGAATTTGAAATATTTACCTTTCCTTTATTTTTTATAACCTTAAGAAAATTTGGGAGGAATGGGAACTGTTTTGGTTTTGTCTTCCTATGATGGCAGAGATTTATTTATAGCCAGGAACTGGAGGACAGTTCTCACGTGGCTGCTGAAAATTCAAACAGCATGTAGGGGTTTTTTTTGTTTTGCTTTTATGCCTTTGTCGCTACAATCTCTCCCTGCATTCTCTGAACTCTTGTTATTGTAACCAGAGCCACGTTTTGCATTGCTACAATTGCAGGGTTATGTAAATTCCAAGGACTTTAAAGGAAAGGGCTTGCAGATGCTGCTCCGGACCTTAGGGAAGTTGACACGAACTGTTATGCCCAGCATCTAGGGAGAGGCAAAGGCATTCATAAATTGTCAACAGACAGGAAACCTAAGTCTCAACCTCAGCATCAACCTGAAGTTTTCTAAATGTTTCAGAACCTACTGGTTTCATTTAAATTGATTGTCCTCTCATTTTCAGTGTTGTGCTTTGCTATGGCCAAGAAAATTTCCTTCAGCTACTTCTGGAAATCTTCATATGTCCTCTTTCCATCGGTGTGTACTGGTTTACCCAGGAGAGCCAAAACCAGAAAGCTCTACAGGTAGAAACACTTTCAGACCCAAGGAACTGCATTTTTACAGTGATCGTGAAACTGTTCAAGTTGAAAAGCATTACTTTCCTCATGAAGACT